AAAAAAGACATAAAAATAAATCGCGTACAAATTGAAATAATTTCAGATCTGATTTTCTCGAAAGCGGGAAACTGGACAGAGACGTCTCCAGCGAAATTGCGGACAGGCGGGTCAGCCACCACGGGTGGTGGAGTAGAGTGGTTGGTGGTGTCCCTTCCATTCCACTAAGTACACAAGAATGAAGCGTAAAAAATTTTATCGTCGCGGTTTTACGGAATGTGATCCGCGGCGATTAAGTGCGCGGCTTTTGTGTCATTGTCATGCCGTCGTCCTGGCCGAATAGGGGCGGGGCCAGGGGGTTGGCCTGGGTTTGAGGAGGGGGCGGCTCCGGCGGTTTATTTGCAGGGAGCTCTAAACCCTCTGTAATGTATTCAAATTTTTCCAAGGCGAGGCCAGAGTGTCAGTGCATTCATTTCATAAAATGCTTCTCTCCTCCACTTTCCCATTTTCAACTTTTTCTTTTCCAGTTCTTTTTTTTTTAATTTAATCGCGGGCAAATATTTCCATTCTTACTGAAACGCTTTTAGCTAAATGAGTGGAAATAAAATTAAATCGATATTGGCTAACGTCAAAGTTTTTAGGGGAAACCTCAAATGACCAAATCCGGGGAAAATTAAAGGAAAGCGGCAGTGAGTTGGGTAGCGTGTCCTAATGCAGGATGTTGATTTGCCTAAATGATTATGTGTTCTATCATCCAGTATTAAGTTACAAAACTCTCTTTTGGTAATAAAAAACACACGGGGTCTACATTAGTTTTCTTCATGAAAAATAGGACTAGTTTAGACCTCTATTCTGATTTAAGATATTTGGCATTAGGGTATTGTTGCCCGTAAAGATTAAGTTTATGAACGTATAACACATTCATTTCCCTTTTAACTCACCCTTATGGTTTAATATTCTATGATAATTTTGGGTGCCCCTTTTCCTTTAAAAATAATGACAAATCAGTTTGCAGATAAAACCGCAGAAAAAAGCTACCCAAAACTGTGGCAGAAAATAATAATCTTAAAATTTACTTGAGCCAGCCGCCGGCTCAGGCTTAACTAATTGTAACAGATTTTTTCAGAGTCATTTTGGAAAGGGAAAGGCCGAAAAAAGCGAAAGAAAAATATGGAAAAACCCTCTGGGGCGTAAACGTCTGGCCGGCATTATCCTGGCTGCGGTGGGCCAATTAGAACCCTTTGTTTGTTCTGGCCAAGACGCCGTGCACTTATCTCCATAATAAAGTCGTAACAATTAATTGAGAGACCCGAAAACGGCCTTCTTTCCCAAAAGATTGAAGTCCTTGAATGGAGCTTCTTCGTTGGCCCTGGAACTTTTTCATCGTTTGACGCGTAATTAGTGCTCAAAAATTATTTGGCGACCGCCAATTAATTTAATGCCCGGCGACATGATTTTACCTTTTAGAGACAGTTATCCACGGGGAGTTCTCTGGTTGAATGGACTTTAATTCTGTTTTAGGCGTGATGTTCTCAAAAGAAGAAAAATCTTCCAGTCGCGCATTAATAAAACATTGCTATGAACTAAATTCTCATTCATCAGATAAATGTTTTTCATTTATTTTATTTATTTATTTGTATGGTATAATTTTAAACATCGCTTGGTTGATTCTATCCATTAAAATACCAAGTTTTCGTTAAATGTATTAGTTTGTAGTTGAGCATCAAGGACGGCGAAACAAATATTACAATTTGTGAAATCTTTTAATATTGTACCACATATTTTGTCTGTGCATATAAACTTGTTAATGTCGACCACATAATCGTGGGATATCAATATCATGAAAGCAAGAATATCATGAAAACATTTCATCCCCCTGATTTTCCTTCTTTGATTTTCCTAGAGCATTCTGAATGAAGGACTACGGAATATTTATCGCTCCCCAAATTTTTTCACATTCGCGTCGAATTCGTTTTGAATGAATTCAACTGTAAAGGTTAAAATTATAAATGTGCGAATGACTCATCATAAATAAAATTAATAAAAGGCACCGCGAACCTGGCCCTGTCCTCCGCTTTTTTCTGACCCTGGCGGACTTTGAGACCTTCATTGAGAAAAAGTACATCGCATCAACATAAATATTATGATAAATGGTTTGGTATAATCGTAATCCACGGGGGGTAAGTTTTGAGTCGTGCCGCACGCATTTTTTATGCTCTTCCGCCCTTCCACCCACGAAACCATCCAGGTCCAGGATGAACTCCTTCTCCTTTCAATGGAGCAACATATGGTCGCGGGGTGGATGATGCCGATGCAGATGGCGCTTCGAATGGATTGCCGCCTCTCAATAGCCAGCGCCAACGAAGTCAAATTGTTTTTTATTGGTTTACCCCAAAGCCGCTCCTTTCAGTGGAAGTATCTCAGTCTCCTGGGGAGATCCGTTCACGCATCTCGCAGATACTTGGAAGAACGCGAACATGTTGCTCGGCAGTTACAAACTTTTCTTGCAGTTCATTACGCCTAATTAACACTTGATACTAAGCGGAAGTTTTATTGCTTCCCCATTGTGAGCATGTAAACAGGCTAACAAAACAATTTCAGATTCGAAGTAACCATCTTTCAACTCGTGCAACCCGTTCTGCGAAGTGACTTCAGCGGCAATACGCCGCACACATTAAAATTCAGGATGCGTTGCAAACAATTTGCGGTAAACAATGTGAGCTTGTAAAGAGGGTGAAAGGCCAGGGATTCACATTGTTATTTCAGCCAGGAAACGGAATTTACAAAATGTGGCATTAAATTATATGGCTCAACAGGCCTTATTTTGTTGGGAGTATGAAACCCATCATCTTTAAGTTCTGGCATGTAAAAAAGGAGGAAATACAAAGAGCATTACCTTAATAACGGAAAAAGGAGATGTTACTTCTTACCTAAAAATGCATAGCATCTATCTTTGATGCTCACTAGTTGCAATTGCGATTAACTCCGCGAATTACTCATTTCCCATTCACAGATCCTCCGACCTGAGAATCATTTAGATCGATTACCACTTGACAAGGAATTAATTTGACAACGTTAACAAATTAAACTGTTAAACCAACACAAACATACTACCCCGCTCGCACACTGAGATATACAAATGGTCGGCGGACGGACATTTACAACATCATTTGTAATCCATATCGCTCAGCATGTCGTCCCTTTGCTTTTCGACCCGCCGTGCATACATATACATGCATACATATACTGTGCTCGGGAGTGGGTGAAAGATGTATTGACCCTTCAACGGCGCTTCGGAATGCTTCACGCTATTTATTGGCTCACTTTCACTCCGGGAAACCAGAGGCAACCAGAGACCCGGACCCGGACCTGGACCCAGACGCGGTGAAAGATTTCTCCCCTCTGGGGAGTTCTGTGACGGTTCCATTGCCAGTCCGCATTGGCCACGTGTTGGGATTTGGCGGTTAAACACACTCTTACACACAATATCCAGGGGATTAGTCCTGCTCATTTGTCAACTGGATATGTGGTTGCTGAGTGCGGTCAATATTAATTGGCAATGTATTAGTTAAGTCGGTAAACACTCCCGCTCCCACAACCACTCGGCTTGGTTACTGGACTATTATTCAGGTTAATTGTAACGGACTTGTACTCTTGATTTTACATTAAAAACTTCAATCATTGCTTTACAAAGCAATAATTCAGCTATTGGCTAAGAACTATCTATAGACATGTAGCAAAGCAATATGAAGATATACAATACATTTTTTAATGGATTTATTTTTCTGTCGTCTCATAAAGACGATCTCCACTTTCAGGAATTGGTTTTAATTATAAGTTTTAATCATGTGCTAGCACAGTTTGGCTTGTAAATATTTAACTGAACGTACGATTTCCCCACAAAGTGTTAGTTTTATTGCCTTTTTAAGCCCTTGCTCGACTTGTGTCAGAAATAAATGATAAATTGAAACAATTTCCCCCATATTGCAGACTTTTTCCTGCCTCAGTTGTATGTCTCCCTTGGCAAGAGAGCTGAGAGCAAGAGAGATGGCGAATTGGAGGCACAGGCTTAAATGTTGCAGCAGCAGACATGAAATTCGTATTTTCACTGCTGCAACACTGCCAGCGGCGCACAGGCTTGCAATTGCAACGTGCAACACGGCATTCCCTCGACATCCACAGTTCCCTCGATCGAAGGCAAAAAAGGGGGACAGGAAAAAATATTTTGACAAATGAACCAAAATAACAGGTTGCAATCGCTCTGAGGAAAGGGGCTCGGGTTTTGGGGCAAGTCGGACAGGAAAACGTATGTTCGGACAACCTTGATACCTCATTTATTTTAAATGCGGCTGCCTCGATCCCTGGCCCAGCCGTAGTTTTCTGTAGTTGTCTGTATTTTTTGTATTTTGTACTCTGCTCGTCGCTTTTCGTATTTCTTGCGCAAATGAAATCGACACATTCGACTCAAGTCGAAGCGAAGGGAAATAAATGAAACATTTCCAGCTTGGTCCGCTCGGTCTGCTCTCGAAAATTGTTACAAATGATCGCAAATAACAGATCTTTGCCGGCACAGACCGAGCAGTCCATCAAAGGAGCCGAACCCTCTCGGTGCGTGATCGAGTGGCGAGGTAAAGGTGTAGGGAGGATTGGGGTTGGGATCGGGATCGGGATCGGACATAGGGTTCTGGCCCTGTCTTTCTGGACGGGAAGTGGTGAAGGCGCCGCCATGCTGCGCCTCATTTGATGCAGGGTAAATTGCATTGATTTCGTGATTAATGACAGTTTCGCATTTCACCAGCCAGTGCACGGCAAGAAATAGTGGTCGGGATAAGGTAACCCAATTAATTCCAGTCATCAGTTTAATATTGCAAAAGTTCTATAAAAAGTACCTGAAATTTTACTTAATTTTAGAAATTCTATATTTCGAGGTTGACTGGGGAGATAGATATGTTACATACATATCATTGATAATCGTTTCTCTTAAAAAAATGGGTTTTGAATCGACATGGTCGATCGCCAATTGAAGTACCTTGTGCTCCCCCAGTGTAATGTGGACTCACCCTGATTGTTGTTGTTGCTGCTTTTGCGGGATGTCTTCTTCTCCTTCATCCAGGGATACTCCGGCACAGAGTCCATTCCATCCGGCGTTTGAGGGACAACGCCAACCGGATATCCGACGCCGACATTAACGTTAACGTTGACGCCCACTCCGCCGATGGCGCCGGATCCAACAGGTGTTCCAATTTTGGGACTCTCCGGACTCAGGTGGTTGAGGAACTCAGCCATCGACGGCTGCGAATTGATGAACCCGCCCTCGGATGCTGTCATCCAATAGGCCGTGTCCGCGCTCCGTTTATCACAGTTCGGGGTCATCTTGTTGACCATGAGTACGGCCGGCACAGGTGGCACCCCCTGCTGGCCGATTCCGGGCTGACCAACACCCACTGCCACGCCACCAACGACGCCCGCACCACTGCAACCACCCACTGACAAGGACGTCTGTCCAGTTTGCACCTGCAGCGGGTTCAGCGGAGATTCCGACTTGATTTGGGTGCCCATCGAGGTCGTGTCCAAGGTACTGCAGACTTCTTGGATGGCTTGGGTTTACTTTTCAGAATTTAGATTTTTTCTATTTCAATTCCTGAGGATTTTAGATATTCCTCAGCTTGGGAACCTGGAAAGGAAAACCATTTTTTAAATTTAACATTAATTTAATCAGGATTAAATGAAACTGAAATCATTGGTTTTCCTAATCGAAGTTGTAATATAACTTCTTTTAAATACTGACATCTTTATTTACATGTCTGTGCTATATTATTTAATGAAACAACCGTTGTGTTTATGTCATATAAAATTTAATTCTACTATACAAATATGTTAATAAATATGTAATAAGAATGCGTTTAAATAAAAAATATCACAAACAGAGCGAATCATTCGAAAAATATTGGTGCCAAACTTTAACAAATTAAATAAGCTAATATTAAAGTATATATTTTTAAAACAAATTATTTATTTCTAGGAAATAAAGAATAACTAATTTTTTACAAAATAGATTTAGAAATTATCAAAATGCAGCGATCCATTTTTCACATTTTAAATGTATAAAACTTGACTATTTCTTAATTACATATACCAATTTAGATTTAAATTAGTCTTTCAAAATATTTTTTTGGTGTCTAATAGTTTCATATTTTATACAACGCTCCAGTTTAATGCCAGATTTTTAAATTAACGTAATTTCCTAAGCAAGAAAGGTCAGTGTTCTGTGCCGAACAATCTAATTCTAAGATTTGTGCTTCTAATAAATAAATAAATAAATAATTTACAATATATGTATGTGTATAGCCGAACATACTATTTTTTAAATTTTCAATTCAACAAAATTTTAACGTCGCTAATGAAATGTATGTTGAATACTACCGCAACGAAAGAAAAAATTACTTAAATGGGTTTGGTCCCCAAATTGGTATATATTTTTGTTCCATAGCCAGTAAATAAATGGCATATTTTGAACAGCAAAAGTGATAAAGCTTTAATATATCCTCATCTAAGCAATGCCGTATAACTCATTTCCTATGCCAATTTCATCATGTGACTTAACCCATGTATATTTAGGACTTACATTTTATATTAAAATTTGAATTAATGGCACGCTTTAATTTTCTCAGGCTTTTAAAGAAAAACCTTTTTTTTTGTAAATTTAGTTAAGAAATATGTTTAACAGCATTTCGTACCATGTTAAGTTGATCATTTACAGACCACAGTATTCCATATTTCTCCTTTTAAGTTGACATATGCGTTCTTTGTGGAAATTTCACCGGTATCACTTGGTTCACAGTTTTCACTATTGTCTGCATTCGCTCATAGTAACTGGCTTAACCTTTTGTTAATTTTTTGCTTTCAACCGGCACAACTTTCGCGATGCGGGTTTTGCGTAGAACTTTAGTGTGTCAGGGCTTATCTGTGGGCCGCGAAAAGAGGCGACAACCGCGACGACGTCGAGGGAACCCAGATCCGAATGTAAATATGGCCACCGTTGTGTTTGCTCAACCGTCAAGTGCTGTTTGGAGTTCGTTTTTCGCTTTCAGGTCGACATCGACACACACCTTTTGGCAGCCATGGCGACGCAAAAGGCCAACACAACCGACGAAACAACGGCGATAACGACGATAGTGCAAGTACGCGCTGTACAACGGTGCGTATGCGGAATGTGTTGATTTTGTAGAGTTCTGTAGAGTCGCTGCGATCGCTGCAATGGCCACACACGGACACACACACACTCAGTCGTTGCAATTCGTCTGAGATAGTTTTCTCCACTCGCACTCATACACATGTGGGCACTAGCTGTCCCTCTCTGGCGTACAAGAGGTGCGCAGAACCGGTTTTCGAGGGGTTCCTAAGGTGGTTCTCAACCATATCGTTAAACTTTTGGTCTCAACTCGTTTTAATAATAATACTTTTTAGTTTTCAAATTGTTTAACTATTTTTGTAGCTGTCATTATAATAAATATTATCCTTTAGATGCCGAACCGATTCACAGCGAGAGCGAGACAGAGGGCTTCTGGGGAGCTTCGTGCGGATCCCGAGAGCTAGAGAGCAGCCAACAACCATTCCATCCAATAGCACCGAACGCACTGAACTGGGATTTTGAGACCCAGTGGCAAGGAGTGGCCTAAGCGACAGCCACCGCATCCATCACGCTTTTTCCCGGTCGGCACATGCGCGGTGCCATCTGGAAACTGGTTACCATAGCCATTACGCGCAGAGCCCAGGGGGTGGAGTTCACGCACACCGGCGCACAAGTCTCCGGCGCTCTGATTGGCCGGCGCTGCAGTTTGTTTTGTAGCTTTGCGGTCGTGTAGCGCGGGAACCCCTGTATCTTGGACCATCATTTCCTCGGCGTTTTCTGCCTCACTCGCTTTTTTCCACTTCCAACGCGAACGTGTTGCTTGCGCCGGAATTTATTTGGTTTTTGTTATTTACACATTGGCTTTCGGGTATGGGTATTTTTGACATTTCGCTTCGCTCATCGCTCTTTTTGTTTTGGGGGCCTCTTCTCAGGCTGTCAATCTTGGTGGCATTGCTTTTTGCCTTTTGGCCGCTTTTTCGCCCTCTTTTTGCCACATTCTCCAATCCACTCCGCGCAATCGGTGGCCAGAGTTCGTAATTATGTGCGGATTTTAATGCACACGGGTGTCACTACAGGTGTAAAAATATTGCCACATTATTCCACCTCAGCTGGGGATGTTCGTACTTGGATGCTCTGGCGGACAACTTGCATGACAGATATAGACGGGAGCTATCGGCAATCCACGTAGTGACGAAGCGCACCAGGAGATTGTTTAAAAATGTGAAAAATATAAATGTGTGAAAAAGATTCGAAAACTTTGAGGAAGCATAATCTAAAATAACAAATAAAGGCCACTATAACTAATATATAAATGTATGCTAAAGCAGTTTTGACGAACATCTATTTTCTTTTGACAAAAAAAGATTTAAATGGTTCATTTTATTAACAGTTTCTAAAGATTTATGATGAAATTGTACCTACCTTCTCATTATGTTTCGATTGTTCTGCTTGAACATAAATTTATAAAAATATATTTATCAAGTCTTAGTTTATATTTATCAATTAGTAATTACTAAATTAAAAGAATTTTCATGTTTTGTATACTACAATTACAAAAAAATGCACTATCAGTAATAAAGGAATTTATTAACTTTTTGACAATTCTGCCTAAGATAAAAAGTTACCTATCTAGCTTATATGAAATTCTGTTACGGGCTCAGCTGAAAAAACTGTTACCCATCACCATTCCGGAAACTGTCACTTCCAAAACTTTATTTTTGTATGATGAACTCAAACTATTATCCTTTATGAAAACAAAGAATAGGCAAATTCCACACACACACATATCGAAAAAGTTTGAGCTCGGATACAGGGATTTATTTTATATTACATAACCTTCCGTAACCGTAACCTTCCGAAATTCCTGGCAACTCTGTATCCACAGTTAATACCAGATTTGGTAATTATGTTCAGGAAAACGTAGCCGCAGTCACGAACTTATAAAAATCGTATATATGTAAATGGTTTGTACTAACGGACGTTGTACTAAACGGAGGTTGTTAAGCAAATTTAATTTCTCAACTGTATCATAAACGAAAATAAAATTTTGTTGGGATTAAATTCTGAATTATTCTCAAAATAGTTAATATTTGCTTTGTCAGGTGCTGGGAATTTTTGAAAATCGAAATAATTTCCGCCAATTTGATTGCCATGGAAGCACTATTTGAGAGCTCCAGCAGCATATTTTAAAAAATTAAATGCACGCATAAATTAAGAAACATATTTTATTTCATCAAAAAAAAGTAATAAAAAAGTAGTCACAGGAAAATACTACTAGTATAATACAATTAATATATATGTATATACAGTAGTCTTAACAGATACTTAAATATATATTTAAAAATTCAACAAATGTTGAATAAAGTCATAGTCAACATCCAAAATATCCTCCGAAGACGCAGAAGAACTATTCGAGTCCCAGCAGAAATTCTGTAGCATTGGCTGATCCAGTGCATTGGGTTCAATAAAATGTTCTGTGACAGGAATCGTTGACTCAATACCCAGCAAAGTACTTGCCCAGTTTGAATCGAATTCATTGAAACGCAGTTGGGGAACACCTATTGGCTCGGGACAAAATTCGTGGAAGTAGTCGTAGCTCTGATGGGGTGGTGTAATTTGACCCTCCGCCAGGAAACCGCGCTCATCCTGCCGCAGTGGAGCTGTTTCCACATTTGTGCTTACATATTTAAGCAGGCGCTCTACGATCTGCTCGTCCTCGAGAAGATCTTCGCTCAATTGGGAAGTAGCTGAAACAGACGAGGTGAGAGCTCCAATGGCACCTTTCCTATTGGTCGACTTCTTGAGTTTCATGCGACGATTTTGGAACCAGATCTTAACCTGTCTCTCTGTGAGTGCCAAACGCTGGGATATCTCGATTCGCCTGGTTCGGGCCAAGTATTTGTTGAGATGGAACTCCCTTTCGAGTTCGATTAGCTGATGGCTGCTGAATGCAGTGCGAGATCTCTTCGATTTCTCCGCGGACTTTGTTGTAGCAACGGGCGCTGCTTCTACGTTCAACTCTACGCAAGGATACATCTATAATACATATGTTGATAAATTGACGATTGGTTTTATTTAAATACGCAGTCATTTAGAACCCACCACAAAATCACTGACTGAGCAGTTGTCCACAAAATAGTTTTCGCTTTGAGTGGCAAACATTTTTCTTGAAGAGCGCGATTTGTTTGCTTCTATTCGCTTTGAACTATGTTTTTTAACTAGACACCCCTAGAATATCCTCATATGCTTATATACCTCTGAAGACAGTCGTGACGGATCGGAGTGGTTCCTACCTGTCCCGCCTGCGACACTTCCAAACTCACAGACGGCTGGTCTGGGCTGGTAGATGTCGCGTCCATTTGAGCCTGGCTCCGAATCAAGGTGAGTTCCAGGCTCCAGAGAATGCGTAGTAGTTCTAAGTAGCGTCACGCGGGCCGGCGTGAGTCGCGATTTGAGCCTCCTTAAACATGGGCTAGTCTAGAAATATTATTATGACGACTTTAATGATTGTCTGTATTTAGTTATGTTCTGCTTTCACTTTGCAAAGATTGTCAAAAAGATTCACTGGGATACCACTTGCATACCTACGGATCACGCCAGCTTTTTTGCAATCCTTCGAGACGCGATCCCCCGACCAGGTATGTTTTGGCCATGAACGGGAACGGTGCTGGTTTTTCCCGGGGTTTTCCGCGTCAGTTATGAATTAGGGTTGATCTACCTGCTTATCAAGAGCAAGCGATCCTATCCGATCCGACCCTGATCCCTGATTGTAAAAAAAGTGTCACTTCAAGCTAATCCAATATCCCGCTATAAAATCGGCCATATCCCCGAGCTGCGTACTATATAGCCCAGATTTACGATTGTCCGGGCTTATGTAAACTAAAACTGGTTTTCTGGAAGGGGGAAGCACAGGTCCACCCGAAAACAAATCTCTCAGATGAGATTGTAGTCCCGAATATCCCATCAGATGATCCGTAAGAGTGTTGGTTCTCCATTTTGGCCCAATCCAAATCGTTCCCTTTACGGAAAGGGTAAATTGTGGATTTTAGCTTAAATTTAAAGATTTAAAAATTTTACACACAGTAGCAAGACTACAAGCCATCTTATCATTGATATTAATTTAGTCAGACCTCTTAAGATGTGAAGCCAACTTGCAAGCCATTTGGTGGAACAATTTTGCGGTCACAACGACTGGCCCTCTGCTCCTTAGTGAGCTCAGATAAATTGGTGTCATCACATCATAAAGTGATTTCCAGCATATTGAAATTTTCTGCAGCTTTTCCATCTCGGCCAGCGTGTTGTGTCACATGGGAAGGAGATGAGGACACTCGGATCATATTAGATTTGCCCTGTTTTGGGCACAATATTTCATCGTCAGCTGTCACAGAGTCGTGTCTTTTTATGAGTTATTTGATTATGCCAATAATAGAAACTTGTAGAATTTCATTATCGATAAAGTTTTGCTATTACCGGAGTGGAAAAATCGCATAAACAACTTGGGCATCATTAAATAATGTCGAGCATGTGAATTGAATATATAAGAACGGCCTTCAACGATTGGTACACATAAATAATATTATTTTCGTATGGGCTGTCATGGCCATAATAAATAATTATTTCGATCTTATCGTGATCAACGGCCGCTTAATGTATTTCTAATTGAAATATTTTTACTCGATTGCTTGACATAAAACTACCAGTAAAAACATTCCATGAGTTGCGGAAAACAATTGATTGATGCGTTATATGCTCATACATATATGTATAGCCCTTTCCTATTGTTCAGATGCAATAAAACGGAGACATAACAGTCAGATTATAGCGTTAAATGGAAGGGATTAATGAGCGGATAAGAATTTTGGGACGCCCGCCTTGCGTTCCCTCGTGGCACCACCCACACCTTGCCCCCGAAACCGCCCACACCCACCAAGAACAAGATGCAACTACCGCAACAACCGTGACAAGTACAACATTTGTGTCGCCTGCCTCGGCTTCAATCTGTCGCCCTCCGCTGTGCCACGCAACCTTTGACACGCATAAATGGAACAGTCAACCCCCAGTTTGTGCTCCACCCTGTGGAAGCGCCTGCTTCCGTATCTGCACTGAAAACTATCCATCAACTTGTTTGAGATTTTTCTCAGTTGAACTAAAGTGAGCAATCCTTTTGCTAAGTCATATGTATGCATGCAAGCAAAACTAATTACATTCAAAACATACCAATTTCAACATAAATAATACCCTTTTACCTTTTGTATTCTTGAAACTACGAAGTTAGTATAATTTATTTATATTTATTTGTCTGTATTCTTGAGCACCTGGAAAAAGTCTTTGATGGATCAAAATATTTCCGAAAGCAAGATTTAATGCAAGTGCATGTGTGAAACATGTAAAGGGTTAACAGATTTCTTAATTATGCGAGCATAAAGGGGTACTTCATCCCATATTTCTTTGAGTGTTCTGGCATGCCAATGCCGAGTGCCAGCTTCTCGCAGTACGGTCTCCGTTCTCCGGACCGCTGTCCTGGCCGAAACCCGGACCCGGCACAAACAAAGATCGCAATTTGACTCTACACCACGGAGCTGTCAGCTGGCAGAGAGTGAAGGAAGATTGATTACCGCCATCGAATTGTTTGCCTTCATCCAGGGTGGCTGCCGCGGAGGTCGGGGGAGCGGAGGACATGCCCTGTGTGCCTGACTTCGATTGAATGGCATCAGAATGGAATCGAAAGAGTTGAGGAGCACCAAACACGATACTCCTGCTGTCATATGTAAACAACACTTCAAGCATTTGGGGATAGGGTGGCGTTTTGAAAAGCAGACGGCTTGCCCTTGCTTAAAGCTGTAAAATAAGCTTGATGTTTGTATAATAGCAATGCTAGAAACTCGCGTATTAAGTAATTCTTTAATCTGGGTTTTGACAGCCGACTAATATTAAAATAAACACTTCAAGTGGGTATCCACTGCAATGAATTGAAAAGAACCCTTACTTTAATTAAGCCCAACTGTGCCTGGGTCATTCCCAAAAATTCAAGGCAACGAGATATCCATCATCCATTCCCAAACCTTATTTTAGCTTTTCCAGGAAATCATCAATAAATTCCATCTGCTTCGAATTGAATTTGCGGGCATATTTTACACAGTTCTCAAAATTGGACTCATCGTTAAGGCCTTTGTAGGCCATGGCGCGATACATCCACGCCCTCAGATTCTTCTCGTCCAATTTGTTCAGAACAAAATCGCAATCCACTATGCCTCGTTTGAATTTGCCCGATCTATGGGGATAAGAGGGGATCCGTCAGTCAGGGAATATCCAAAGGAATTCAGATATCTTTTGCTCACTTGATAAAGCACAGAGCCCGGTTTATGTAAAGGATGTGACTGTCCCGGATATTTTCAATGGCTTCGGTGTACATGTTCATAGCAGCCTCGTAGTTACCCTTTCGATACTCTGCGTTGCCCAATCTAAATAGGCAGTAATGTAGATTAAGTTCGCAGTGTAACAAGCATGACCCACTTTCGAAAGTTTTCAGCCACTCGTTCCCGTTCCAAGCGAGCTTTTGAGCGCTGATCGAGATCCATTTCGACCTGGCGCATAAAGGGAAACCGATCCTTACTTCGATCTATGCGGATGAAGGTTCTGGGCTTCAACTTCTCTTTGGAAGAAATGGGTGCGGAAATAACAGGAATTGGAGTTTTCCTCTCTGTAATTATAAAACTCTCCTCTGTTATATTGGCGGATTCGGGACTCCTTTCTGCCTTTTCCCGGCTGGCCGCCTCCTCCCTAAATAAGAAATATTACAAGTTACTGGTATCACTGGCATATGTTTTCCACTTACTCATTGGGCACTTGAAGACTTTCGAGCAACTTGACCACTTCCTCAACTGTTGATTCGGAATCTAAGAAGCATTCATCGATTTGCGGGTGTTGCAAGGAGTACATGATCCCAAATATTAAATAATGACCGTCTGATTCAAATAAATATTTGTTTTTGATTTGACCGTTGTGCCAGTTTGTTTACTCAGAATATTTACCAGCTGGGCAAACGATTCGCGTGGCAACTCGGGGTTGTACTATTTATGGCCCATAACCAACTGGTTGCCTAGCAATATTACGCTTTTTAGGCATTATAAGAAATATCGATAGTGTTATGAAAGTATATAAATACTGCCTATATCGAGCTTGTATAACTTTGTTTTTAAGATTGGGAATTTATTTATTCAATTTTAAACTATGATCAAACTATTTCGCTTTTAGCGACTTTAACGACTTTAATTTTTTGTTTTTTTAGTCATTTGCGTTGAATCGTTTACATGATTATGGGTGCATAGAAACACACACCTGCACACCCTGTTGCTAGCACTAAGGCTAGTCATATTCGTACTCACGCTCACATTACTTTTCATTTAATCTCATACAATTTGTAAGATAAAGAAATGCACAAATGCATGTTGAGCAGAGCTTGGCTCAAAGGATCAATTATAGACTATAAAACATAATGGCATCTAATAATAGTAGAGCCGCAATCTCAACACAACTGAAACCTGCCCCTCAACCGCCCCTTTTGCACTCGGGAAGGCTTTACACTCAGCAAAACAAGGTTGAGAGTGCCAAGTGAATACATTATTTTTGGACAGAAAATTGAATTCTTTAACATTCTTAATCTAGTCTTTAGAATATCAAATATATAACCATGTAAACACATATACATATATAATATAAAACATAGCCGATTATACCAAGGACTCGAAAAACTGTGATATACCCAGAAGATATCTCAAAAAATCAAAAGACATTTGTGGTTTGACCCATGAACATCGATCCTCCCGATTCTGCAATGCGGAACCTATCATTTCCCTACAATTTTATTATCCTGTTGTAAATTTTCAATTACACTTCATAGTGTCATCAATATAGAAACATTTTGCAATAAAAACCATTTATATGTGTATATGCATATTATATATATATTACAATATATATTATAGTAAAGTTAAAGCAATAAAGAAAGTAAAGTAAAGTAAAGAAGCAATATTAAATACGAGTATAAACAGTTCAATCAACAGTTCAATTTCAATCTAAATGGCTTCGTTTGGTTATTGTTAATTTATTTATACCAAAGTCAAACAGTAATAATCAAGAAATTAAGGCATTTGGCTAATGACTTTTTTCAAATAAGGGTTTATCGAACTCTGAGTTCAAGGGCGCAAAATTGCTTTCATTACCTTGAACAACAGAAGCACAATTAAAATGGTGCGAATTGTACCGAACACTGTTCCAAATTTGCTAAAATAAAATATTGAGCAATTTAACAAATTTTCGACCAGTGCGTCTGTAACCTCCCGCTCACACCTTCGGTTCACCTGGAAGTGCATGTCGCTGGCACATTACCTGCAGCGGTGCATAGGGGCGGGGTGGCCGGGTGGCGGGGAGGCGGAAAGGATCCTGGCGAGCGAGAGCTGGGTGGCGGATATGTGTCTGTGTCGTGTGGGGCAGGCATTTAGGAGCCGGTTCACACACACCGGCACACACGCGGCAACCGGACATGGACATGCTTAGGCGCCGGGCCCTCTTGGCCACGTTAGCAGGGAAGGGGCGGGGCAAAGTGCACGGGGATAAATAATTGCAGTGCGGCAGAAGGAGCCTGAACTGGTTGTGGCACCATTTCGCTCCTGCCAGCAAACCAGCAAACCAGCAAGCAGCAAATGGACAAACGACAACGACACCAAATTGCTCACATGACGCACCGCATTTTTTATTGCGCACGAATTTCGTTGTTGGTTAGCAAAAGTTGGTAACGCTCCTTGCGGCAGCCACTCGCTGCCTGGCGGCATCATCAGCATAGATTGCCATTTCGACGTAATTGTTATAAATGAATTCCACGTAATTTAATTATGGGTTTTAGACCGATGAAAAATACACCAGCCAACGGGCCATAAAACGGCCAGCCCTACAGATGGGAGGTCACTTGCATATGCTGCGTATGAGTATCAGCTGTTGGCAGGGAGAGGGTTCAGAAGGTGGCCGAATTATCCGTGAAATGGGCTCATTGGGTTGGGGGATTCAGAATCCGTCTGTTACAAATTATGAGAAAAAAAGGAGTCATCGAGCCCGGCTGATGGCCTAGCAACCAATCTGTCACAATATCTTCAATAGCGTCAAAAGGAAATTCAATTTGAGCTTATAGTCTCTACAACACCATATATAACTGATCGTTTGTGCACCTAAATAAATTTAAATACTTTTATTATTTTTAAAGTAACAGCTAATAAAAACCATGGTGAACACTATTTTGTGATAGGAACTTAAATGTTTTGGAGTGAAAGGATGCGTTTATTTACAGATGTACTACGAATAAACTAATAAAGTATAAATCATTAAACAGTATAAGTAGTTAAAGAACAACATTTTCGTGCCAAGTTATACCCCTCTATAGGGGTGAAATAAGTTAAACAACAGATGCTCGCCCACAAGCCAAGTGACTCCCGTCTCGGATGGGACAACGAAAATTCTAGTGTAAGCCCAGTTCCAGTTTGGGGGCCAGGATGCTCCACTACCTCGACCCATTCCTTGGCAATTGGCATTCAAATTTTGAAGTGATTTTTTCACGCTTTCACAATCTCCCGTGGAATACAGAATAAGGAGCGCTTGCCGTGCCTGCTGTTTACTATATGTGCACATTTTTTGGGCCAACAGTACACACCCGCATATGTGGAATGGACGGAAACTTTTTCTGGCCCAGCACGATTTGTTTATACGACAGGTGTTGGCCATGCCGGTGGCGTTGAGGGACTAACACGTCTGTGAAATGTCATAACGTTTAAACGTGCCAAAAATATCCAAATTGGAGGCAAAACCGTGGGGCGAAGTGCCGAAAAGGATGAGTCAAATACAGATGGAGAGCCTTTGGGTAGGTTTTTATTATTTACGAATGATGCTGCACTGAGTTCAAATGAGTTCGGAAACCAAAAATGTTCATAGGCAAATTTATTAATAATTTGTGAGTCAAAAGCCAAAATATATGCTAAACTTTTCGATTTTTGGCTCAAACCGATACATAAAACTTCTTTTGTATAGCGATTCCCAGCTAACGCGCCTAATTAACTTGCACTGCACCGGTTTCCCAGCCAAGACATTTCATTTGCACACAAAATACATTTTGCTCGGCTGTCGCAAGGATTTCGCGTCCTTGGATTTCGCGTCCTGGCCGCGAATTCGAAATTCATGGCTGCGGAGTGGGGTGAGCTTGGTTGAGAGCCAGAAGCCAGAAGCTGCCGAGAGGCGATTAGCCATAAAAATTATAGATTCAATCTAATTACAAAACGCTGCGGTTGGGCATCGTGGAGTGGGCGTGCGACTCCCAAGTGAATATTTAATTTAATTAACAAGAAACAATTTGAAATGTTCTTCGCCCAGCCTCCGTTGCGGCCTCTGAATTTATTGTTATGACCAGGCCCGCGACTGCGACCATGTCGTTGTCATCAAGGCTCCGGATTGCCGCCTCCGGGCTCCGGACTCCGGACTCCGGCTCCCAGTTCGCTATTCCGGCTAATAAAACCGCAATGTTGCCGCTGAGCGAGTGATTGAGCCTACGAATTGGCCACTGGAGCAATGGGAACAATCTGCGCTGTGCTGTTGGACATGTTTATTACATTGGCATTTCGCGTAATTGAAGCTGGCCGCGTGGAGTTGTTTAGTTGTTCCTGCCGTTCGCTTTTTATGCGAGTTTGATTAGCTGCCTCTGATTGCCGGGCGATTAGCCACGCCCACGCTCCTCCAATGCGGCATCTATATTCATTATGGCAGCACCCAAACATGTGTAGGACATGCTCCCGGCGAGGGCAGGCCGAGCCAAAACCAAACCCAAAACCAAACCAGAACCAGAACCAGACCAGGACCGAGGCGAACCGGACCACATGTCAGGAAATGTCAACAACGCGCATGAAAATTCCAAGGATTCACCCCCTGTGCAAGGTCCTCCCCTTTGACCCCTGACTTTCACATGGCTACACTTTGAAAAATGTGTTTAGTACGCTAAGCTGTCCCCAAGAGTTATCAAGTAAATGGAATTAAAACTTGTCAACGAGTTGTATAGCGTAATAAAGATCATCAACCTTCTTAACCTATTAATGCTGAATATAATTATGAAGTTTTTATGACACAATTGATGAATTGTAATGTTACTGGATCGATGTCTAGTATGTTGATACTTAAATATTTGAGTGTAGATCTAGTTAAATTGTATAGCACAAGTATACATTTTGAACAAAACTAGGTGTTCTTATTTAGGACTAGGACTACTATTTCTCGAAGTGCACGTCCTGCGAGTCCTTTGGCCGTGGCAAGTGCGAGCGACAATTTCCTCCCAGGGGAAGCAATTTGCCACACATACAGCACTCCACACCACACCTAAGGGCCCGACCAAGGAGCAAAGGGATGGACGGGAAGGCTTGGGCTGGTGGAAATTCCTTGGAGCTGAGGCTGAGTGCCGCATTTCCGCGCGGCAAGACGCTGGACAGCCGCCGCAGCCAGTAGCAAGTAATGTGTGCGGTTAAATGTCCATAAATCAAATCCTAACACTCCACGTCCGCCGCTCAAGATGACCAACGGAACCCGATGTAACTGAAACTGAACCTGGATCCGGTTCCGAATCCGAATCCGGATTTGGAATGGGAATGAGGAGGGGCTGGACCTGTCCGAGTTAATGCGGTTGACACTTTTCTGGGTCCTAATAGATGGGCGATGCAATGGAAATTCCTCGAGTTGACCTCAAGTCGCCCGCAATGGGACATTAAATGCAAAAGTGAAACCGAAGACAACTGGGACACCAGCTAAATGCTAAAAATTAACCCTCCCCTTCTTCCTTTGTTTCTCCCTTTCAAAAGCCAAGTGTCCAAGTGAAGTGGGTTTAAGGATATCAAATGGATTGATGGGGAAAAACCTGTAACTAAAGCAAACCTGTAAACTATAAAAGTTGTACAGCTACAATGCTGATGCCAAGAGTCACTTAAGAAATTGCTTAAAAAATGTTTTTAAGGCGAAGAAAACAGTACTTTGTATCAATG